TGAACTGCCATTTACTTACAATGCTGACCTGTGTGATCATGCAGCTAACATACATAAATACATATATACATATATACAAATATACATATGTATATATATATATATATACATATATACATATATACACACATATATATATACATATACATATATACATACATATACATACACATGTCTGACACACGAGATACAAGGCATGTTTGCTCTTTTCGTTGTTTCTGCCTCAAGCATCCAGCGTTTAGGGGTTTCCGAGACCTCGAAGAGCTGTACAGAGAAGTGGCTCAAAGCTTAAACAGTAGACCCACTCAACCCCGAACCAGCGGAAGCCGTGTAGAGGCCGCCAAACCTCAGCCCGAAGCCAGGATGTGAGCCAAGTAAAGCAGGCAGAGTTCCACGAGGCGCTTCGAGCAGCACGACACCACGTGGACGAGCTACAAGCTCGCTTAAGGCAAATGGAGGCACAGCGCCTCGGCAGAGATCAACAAAATTAAAAGCTGACAGATCTCATCTTTATGGCTCATTCCCGCTATTCTAGTTATCATCGGGTTTACAGCATTGGTCTTTTGCAAGGAGTCAAGGAGCTGGTGCTGGTTATGAACATAAGGCGATAGGCATCGAGCGTGTGTAGCCAGTTCGATGCAGCCAGTAGGGCCTAGGGCTGGGGGTCTATGGGAGTGTAGGGCCTAGGCATTTAGTGATCGCAGAAACAAAAGGCTTTCACACGCGCTGGCATTCGTGCGCCGTTGTCTTCGAGATGTACCATGTTCCAGACCTTTTGCTCACCAAGAGGGTTTGGGATTTGACCACTCGTGGAGCTCTTCTGGGCATGAGGATCAAAAGAGCCTTGTTAATTATGAATCTGTTGTCAGGCAGTCGCAAACAGGTTCGGGAGCTGTTAATCGGCACGGGGCTGACACAAAAACACGAGCCTCCCCACTGAGGAAAGCCCTAGTGCACGTCCACAAACTCGGAGATGAGTCGTCAATTACACTCCATATCTGCCCATGGCATTCACCACAGATCTTCGTAAGGTGCTTGGCCCAAGAGGTTGGGCCCTCACACCTTAGTTTCCGAGAGCCATATCGATACACTTCGTCGAGCACTATGAAAGCCCAAGTGACGGCAGAATTTGACTCACAAGTTAAAAACAACTGGTCGGTCACAACACCACGAAATCATACGGACATCGCTCACGTTGCCAAACACCAGCAACGTTTCGAGTACCAGGAAATGAAAACATCCATGCGTTTTTTGTTCTTCTGGTTTGTATCATTACTAGTGACTTTAGGGGCCGATGCCACGTTAGACTTACTTTTGAGCTGGTCCTTCCGGACACCACTAGTGAGGGGCGTGCTGTGCCGAGCCGCCCTCGATGGCGAGGCCTCAAATCTCGCAAATGAACCTAGACTAGAATGGCGAGGCCTCAAATCTCGCAAATGAACCTAGACTAGAATGTCTTGAAGGTCAAGAAGAAAATCACATCTAGAGAAAACCGTGAAGACCATGAGGCCAGCGAGCCCTAACCAGAAAACATTTTCTGAGCTGTGGGGCAGTGCACGTGTGCACACAATGACAAGTTAGAGCGTGTGAAAGTCTTCGTGTTTGCTTGACCAGTTACAGGAAGCAAACAAGAAGCAGCTGCTGAAACCGCTTGCAACTCGAACTTCTTTTTAGCTTTTGCTAGCCTTCTTCGCCGCTATGGCCAGGCAACCCTTCAGCCCGGTGGTCGTGGCCGCGTTGAAGGTCTTATGTGAAGCGTCAGAGGATACCTTGATGGATGCGCTGTCAGAGTTCCGCATCTCTCACAGAGCGCGGTTGGCTGCCTTGACTTCCCAGTCCGTTGCGGAAGGATTGGGCTCCTTCAAAGGCAACCAACCGCGCTCTCGCGGCCTCGGTTCTGCAGTTCATACAGAAAACCCCTTGCAAGAGGCATGTTGAGCCCCGAAGAAGCAACGCACCTGGCCGGTAAACTAAACTTCGTCTGCTCCTGGGTCTTCGGCGGAGTAGGTAAAGCCCTCCCCAAGTCAGTTTACTCACGCCAGCACTCTCTTTTCCCGCAGAAGAAGCTTAATCCCCCCGTTAGAAGCTGCCCTGACCAACTTGTCAGCTTTGCTGCCAGCACTGAATCCATGCGAGTGTCTTTTGAGGAGGTCTCTTCAGACTCAGAGACCCCACCTCATGTACGGAGACGCGTTCGTGACTCTGGCAGGGACACCGCAAGCAGGTCATCAGTGCCGAAGGACCTGTTAGCCAAGGCGGCATCGACCAAAGCCTTCATATTCTGGTTGGAGGCGCTCGCACAGATCGCCTGCCTGGCAGTTGCAGCCGAGACCCTGTCAGGAGATGTGGTATACTTTGTGGACAACAGTGCAAGTGAGCACGTGCTGAGGAAAGGATACCCCAAGGCAAGGACCCCTCGTTGACAATCTTGTTAGGTTGGTTTTAGTCCTGGGTAGCTTGCAGACGCCTCAATGTTGTTTTTGTTAGAATCACCAGCAAGGCCAACTTGTCCGACCAGGTTTCTCGTGGGGATTGGGAGCCCAGTGAGTCGTTACGCTGCCAGAGAAAGTACCCTGATTTTGACAGCGCGTGGGAGCTCCTGTTCGAGCTCACCGCGCAGCCCGTGGACCCAAACCAGCCCTTTTCGAGAAGCTGGTCACCTGTTAGCGTTTCAACCGGTTGCCCAGTGAGAGCGCGAGTGAGTGGTCGTTCCGCGCTACAGTGGAAGTTCTGTGGACAGACCAGTTCGCCTTTTAGAGGTTTGAGCAGGTTGGTGCGAGACCAGTTACGGACCACACCACTCCGCGGGTAGTGGAAAAGAATCGAACTCGTGTTCGTACGCAGTTTCACGAAGCCAAGAACTTGTCGGGCAGTGCACGTGTGCGCGCAGTGACAATTAGAGCGTGTGAAAAGGTTTGTGTTTGCTTCACCAGTTAAAGGAAGCAAACACGAAGCAGCTGCTGAAGCCGCTTGCAGCTGGAGCTTCCTTTTAGCTTGTCACTCCACGCCCGCCCGGAAGAAATTCTGCAGACCGACCAGTTAGCCTTTAAGAGGCTTGAGCAAGTTGGTGCGAGACCAGTTACGGACCACACCATTCCGGGCGGGTAGTGGGAAAGAGTCGAGCTCCTGTTCGTACGCAGTTTCACGAAGCCAAGAACTTGTCCTCGAAGTCTCGAGCTTTCCGGAAGCTTAAAACCTAGAGCCCGGTAGCGGATTACTGACACTCCGAACGAGCAGAATCGTTCCTCACAGCCGAACCCCAAGCCTTGAATCCAAGAATATTATCATTCCATCCTACTAATTGATCCACTTCGAGTTGGCAGAACAGTTGAAGACATTGTACTCCCGAAATAAGCCCCGAGCTTCAACTTCCACACCCTACGAAGCCCGAGCCCTAGCCAATGTCTTGAACCAGAACCCTAGTAAAGGCAAGACGCTTTCCTCACAGAGCGACGTGATGCAAAGGTGGGGCAGAAATGGCATAAGGCGTAGCGCTTCGGGCTTTAGCGTTGAGGTTGCGGGCTTCAGTTTGTTTCGGGGTTCGGACTTCACTTGAGATTCTCTGTCGGTCTGTAAGTTATGGCTTCAGAAGAATCTAAGAAGTGCACATTCAACCCGGCAGCCCCAACCCTAAGCCTTAAGCCACAACCTGAAACTTGGACCCGTGTGCGGGGAGTATGACTTCAGGCTCGGGCATAGGTCCGAGGGTGGGTCTTGCACGGCTCAAGGGCAGGATCTGCTTTAGGACGCAATCAAGGCAGTTTGTTCTCAATAATCCGGTTGAGAAGAGTTTCAGAGATTCAGGGAAAGCACGGTGCTCGGCTGTAGCAACTGTGGGTCCTAAACCCTAACGGCGTGGGGTTGGGATGCAGGCTCCTCGATGACTTCGAGGTCTATGGCCTGGGATTCGCGGATCTCTAGAACCGAAACCCTAAAACCCTGCAACTTCACAGCCGTATAACCTAGCTGAAGCTTTCGAGTACTAAATTTAGCTGTGATGCCCTGAATACTACAGACCAAGAGCCCTCGACACTGAGAACCCAAGTCCTCAGGCGAAAACTCTATTGGACCCTAGTGTCGGAGAAGCACCGTATCAACAACAACCCTAACCCCAAATCCTAGTACCCTTATTGGAACCCGTTTTAGGGACCGTTATAGCGAGCCTAGCCCAGAGCTGTGCAACTCCAAAGCCGAAGAGGCTGTGGGCATTTTGGAGCTGCCGGAGGTGACCTTGGCTCCCACAGCTTGCACGCCTGACGAGGCACAGCAGCTTCGCAGAGGAGTTCGTGAAATTTGGCAGGTTGGCGCTTGAACTTTGTTGAGGCTTCTGGGTCAGCCTGTTAGGGAATCTCCGTGAAGATTCCTTGGGTTGACGCATGACCCGAGACCCTTGAGGCCCTAAACTCTAAATGGCAAAGCCCTAAAGCCAGAATCCCAGTTCTAGTCAAGTCGAGTCCCGGACCCGTTCACCGAAGCCGTGACCGGGAAGCCCGCGATATCCTATCCTATCCTATCCTATCCTATCCTATCCTATCCTATCCTATCCTATCCCATTCACCTTAAGCTTCCGTACACCCAAAGCTTTACGCCCAGTTTTGGAGCTTTTCGGAGCTCAATCTCTTCGGCCCTGAACTGCTCTGGAGAGCTTTGTGCCAGGGTCGATTTCCCAAAACACTCCCAGAGTCTGGCTTAGTGTTTAGCTTTGTTTAAGGGTTACAACAGTTTTGTGTGCTTTTGTCACGGCCACCGCCTCAACTCTTGTTGCTGCTGTTATTTCCGCCAACCCGAAACCGAAGACCCCAAGCTATCCCTGATTTAAAATCACCGTTTGGCAGAAAGGAGGCCTCCGTGACGAATGAGCCAACGGAGGCAGAGAGTTCCGTCATCACATCGAAGAGGCCTGGCCTTGGGACGGAAGCTCCAAGAGGGTGTTGAAGTTCAGGGGACTTCCTAGGGTCTTGTAGTGCGCATGAGGCCCGATGTTCAGCTTCTGGCTTTGCCGCCCACGTATAGGTCTAGGTTTTGCGTGCACCTTCTGCAGCTTTAAAGGTTTGACGGGGTAAAGACCAGGAGATTGCGCGTCTTAACCACCATTGCATCCTCATGGTAGTGCTGCTAAAGCTGCGCTTTCTCTCATGCTGTTGGCCATGTTCTGATGCACCGGCTCTGGCCGTTTGACGACTCAAGGGAAGGGAATGCGCATGCTGAGCCAAAAGACTGGAGACCAGAAGCTGTGTGTCGTGTGCTTGCAAAGGCCCAGGACCCTCCAGGCTCCGTCAAGTAGAAGGGTTACGATTGCATTGGTAGCGACGCTTGGGCGAGCCACGACCCAAGAGTGCTGCGACGGATGTTCTTCGATGATGATCTGATAGATTTTGGAGGACTTCCAGGCGCGGCTGGCGCTGACGGGAATGACGACGGTGACTTTGTCTTCCAGGAAGATGCTGTCTCTGGCGCCTCGTCGAATCCAAGTGTGCCGACTCTGGATGCATTTTCGGAGGCGCCGCGAAGGAAACGTGGTTCCCGAGGAGGCTCTCAGAGGGCTGCTTCGGACAAGGACGCCAAGAGGTGGCGTTCGGGAGCTATCCCGCCGGCGCCGGTGTTTGACGGCGACATCGAGAAGGATCCCTACTGTCTGCGACACTACAAGCGCAAGCTGGGCAGATGGCTGAGGATCACCAAAGAGTTCTTGCCGCCGAACGAACAAGCGCTCAGGGCTCTTGAGCAACTTCGAGGCGAAGCTGAGCTGGAGTTCGAGGAGGTGGACGACGCCAGGTTCGACTGCCCTGACGGCATCGACAAGTTGCTTAAGGACTTAGAGGTTTCGTTCGGAGAGCGAGAACTGTTTCGTCAAGGCGGCACAATCCGGGAGTTCGAGCAGGTGTGCCGGCTGCAAGGCGAAAGCGTTTCTGCTTTCATCCGAAGGTTCCGCCTGCTGGAGCGGAAGCTCAAAGACAACCGGGTACCTCCGTACCCGGAACAGGCCCGAGTGGTTAAGCTGCTGGACGGCCTTCGACTAGATGACAAGTCGGTCTCGGCCGTTTTGCTGGCCGCTGGCAACGAGTACAACATGAACAAGGTCCTCGAGGCACTACGCATACAGTACCCTGCGGGCATGACCATCACAGGTATACCACGAGCACGCCAGGACCCGAGGACTTCGCGAGGACGTGGAACTTCTTCCTCGAGATCTACGACCTCGACTGCTTCTACTCGATCCGCGGCTTCGTCAAGGAGCTCCCAAAGTGGCCGGCGCTGGCGTCAGTGGAACGCCAATGTAGAAGATGAGGACTACGAATGGTACAATCCTGACGCTGGTGAGGACGAAACGTGGGACTCGCTGCATGACGCGGTTTCAAATGCTCCCGACGCCGAGGCTGACGAGTCAGGCCTTCCCGAGATACCCGAGGAGGAGGCCGAGGACCACGAGGAGACTCAGCTCAACGAGGCCGAAGGATGGGATGAGTGGCCGGTCTCCGACTCGGTGGGCAATGCTCTCGCCGAAGCCGCGCAGGCGCTGACGGTTACTTCGAAGAAGTTGGCAGGCCTAGCGCAGTCAAGAGGCTTCTACCAGACCAAGGGCGCTCCTTCTTCTTCCGGGAAGGGCAAGGGCAAGACGGGCTCTCCTTCGTCTGGGAAAGGCAAGGGCAAGCATGGCAAGCCGGGCTCGAAGGGCATTGGCAAGTCGAAGGGCAAGGGACGCGGCAAACTGGATGCTCAATCTGCCCTTCAGCAGCAAAGGCTCCAAGGCAGTTTGTGTCTTGGGTGCGGCTCTGCGGACCACTGGCTCAGAGACTGTCCGAACTTCAACGTGCAGAATGCTCAGTTGGCGTCGGCCAGCATGCCCGGTGTATGCCTGGATGCCGACGGGGCGGTCGAGATTCACTCCAGCTGGACAACCTCTTCGAGCAAGGTCGACCTGGCCCCACCGGACGTTGAGACACTTCATGCCGCTGTGCCGAGCAAAAAGAAGGTTTACTTCCAGCTACCTCCGCTACATGACTTTGAGCCCAAAGTCGCTAGATCTCCAAGTGTTCTACTGCAGTACTGCGAAGGACCCTGCTCGGCATACATCATAGCGGACACCGGATGCCAGCGTCAAGTAGCAGGTCAAGCGTGGCACGACCAGAAAGCCCAGGAAATCCTTCCCTCAAGAGGCTTGAGTTCCCCGACAAGTGCAAGTTCTCTTTTGGTCCGAGTGCTCCTGTTACTTCCGTTGGTCGACATGTGTACCCGGTGGCTATCGCAGGTGTTCCGTTCAGTCTGTCGGTGAGTGTGGTCGCTGCCAAGGCCCCAGCCTTGCTTTCGAGAAGGGCATTTGAAGCTTTGGGTGCAGTTCCGGATGTTCACACAGGATCTGTTCACTTTAGGGCGCTGCAGTGCACATCAAGGTTATGGTTGTCTCCTTGTGGACACTTGGCTATCCGACTTGACGAGTGGGGCAAAGAGTCCTTTCCCTGGCCCCCAAGCAGTGTACCACGTGACTTACCAGACGTCATTCACCCGGCAGCTTTTGATCGCCCAAGTGTGTTGGAAACTACGACAAGCCCAGCGCAACCTCCTCCGCATGCCCCGAGAGGCACCTCCGCAATGGCTGGTTCGTTGGCGAGCTCTACTACAAGGCCTCCTGGGCTTCGTGAACAGCGTCCAACAAATGGTGCTGCTTTACTCAGTCACTCCGGACCTCGTCCTGCGGAACTATGGGGTCCCGTCGACGGCTACCTCAGTGCTGAGCACGGTGGGAGCCATAGCGGCTCAGACGGCCCTGACGAACCAGTCCTACATGAAGAAGCCGGACCAATGCAGCCATCCCTCAGGACTGCGAGCGTACGGAGGCGGGGGCACCAAGGTGAGGATTTGCGACGTGTGCGGTTCCCGATGGGTGGTGATGCCGAATGGCAATCAGGTGCCTGCGACTCCCAAGGCCTCACCTCAAGCAAAAACCCCGCTCGACCTTCCGGAGAGAGTGGTCCAAGCGCTGCGCAGGGAGCGAGAGAGCAAGAAGCCCAAGGCCAAGGCCGCAAGCGGAAGCCACCAGTACGACAACGAGGACCTCGGTGCAGCGTACCCCGCCTCCTTGCGTCCCTCCTCAACATCCTGGCGGGGATCTGTTCGGGCTCCTCCGGCGGCTATGGCTATGAGACGATCCTCTCCGACGCGACTGACGGCCCGTGCGAAACCCACGGCTCCTCCACCTCCGAGTCAGCGTCGAACATGGATGGGAAGCCCACCGGCATCGGACACGGACCGCATGAGTGTGGACAGACGCAGTGCGGGAACCTACGATCAGGACTGGGCAAACTGGGAGGAGCCAAACTTCTTCATGGACAACCGCGACCAGCTGGAAGGCTCCGAGGGCAGCCAGTTCGATCCCAACGACCTGATTCCGGACGACGAGTATATCTTGGATCAGGAGACCCGCTAGCTGCACATCCTCCTGTACAACCTCGTCTTCGTGGTGATGTTCTTCGAGGCTCTCCCGACGAGCCCCTTCTACCGGATGACCGCGGTGCCTTTTCTGTGAAGCCGGGCATGATCAAGCGTGTCCTAGGAAATCAAAGGGCAGTGCGGTCTATGTGGTTGGTAGAACAGGAGGTGTACCTGAACCGTGCCAGGCGGGCGCGCTCTATGCGCAACTTCCGCTCGGACCTCCTCGAGATCTACGGCGGCAATGCGGAGATCACCGCCCAGGCTCTTCGAGTTGGACTTCGAGCCTTACAACCGGTTGATAAGGTGTATGGCTGGGAGCTACGGCGCAAGAGCGACTACGACCAGCTGGAGAACCTCGTCCTTCGACATCGGCCTTACCTCCTGGTCTATGAGATTCCTTGCACCGCGTGGTCCAACATCCAACCTCGTGAAGAACTACAAGTGTTGCGGGACCAACAGGACCAGGCCATCAAGCGAATGGTCCACTTGATCCAGAAGGCCAAGTCTACCTACGGAGGACATTTTCTTCTCGAGAACCCGGCATACACCGACTTCTGGAAGCACCCAGCCGTTCAAAGACTGCGCCAAGTTCCTGACGTGAGTTTCCAAGTTGGGTGCATGTGTGCCTTCAATCTGAAGGACGCTTCGGAACGGCCCCTCAAGAAGCCGACGGGGTGGATGACCGATCTTCCTCGAGTCTTGGAACGAGTAGCCCTACCATGCAGCTGCGCACCGGATGCCCATGGCCAAGTTCTTGGCGGAAACAGCCAGCGAGCCCAGGTCTATACCAAGGAGCTCGCGGAAGCGGTGGTGCGTGGTGTACAAGAGTCCCTGGCAGCGGATGGTGATGAGCGAATGAACAAGGCCACGGACGAGAACTACGCCACGGTGTACTTCCTCGACATCAACCGGCACGAGGACTCCTGGCTACCCCTACTCAAGGAAGTTGACGAGCAGTTGAAAGGCAAAGTTCGACCCGACAAGGTCATCCCTCTGAGCACCCCCTTCGGCGAACAGGTCAAAACATTGGTGCCATGGAAACTGGAGAGGCTGCAAGTCTGCAGAACCCCCATGCAACGACGGCTGCCTCTGGAAGTTCTTCAAGCGGGCGCTCGCCATCGGGGTGCGGCGCTCTGGCTCGCAGATGGCAGCGTGAAGCTGGAGGCGGAAACTGTGGATTCCATCATGGCCCAATCCGCAAACAAGTTTGCTTCTCCTGTGCGGGCAGCGATATTCTTCTTTGGGTCAGCGCCAGACAGCAGTCTCAACCCGACGGAGAACGCCAAGCCTGAGCCCTCTGTGAAGACGGCCAAGCCGGAAGAGGACAAGATTGATGACACTGAAGTAATGAGGCCGCATGAACCAGGTTACCGTGACATAACCTTTCCAGGCGCCCCGGCTGCTCCTCGGTGGCTACTTCAAGTACTACGTCGAGTGCACACCAATCTGGGGCACCCAAGCACAGCCACGCTCGTGCGACACCTTTCGCACTCAGGAGCTTCGGAGCTCGCTGTACAATGTGCCCGCAAGTTGCGTTGTGAGGTGTGCAGGCGCGTGCAGCCCCCTCGACAACCACGGCCAGCAAAGCCCTACAACCCCCAGCGTTTCAACGATAAGCTGGGACTGGATGTGCTGTGGCTCAAAGACATTCGGGGTAAGGTTCATGCCTTCCTTTCCCAGGTCGATGACGCAACGTGCTACCACGTCCTGAATTACTTGCAGGATCGCAGCGAAGAAGAGGTGATGAAGGTTCTCATCAATGGCTGGATGGCCTTTTTCGGGCCCCCAGACTCTTTGGTCCTCGACTCTGATGGATGTTTCCGTGGCTATCGCTTCGAAACCTTACAAGCTCAATGTGCCACTCAGGTCCGCTACGTCCCGGCAGACGCGCATTACCAGCTGGGTCGTACCGAACGACACGGGCAGGCCATCAAGTACATATGCCAGCGACTGGTCAGCCAGTTCTCTCCTGTCGGAGCTCAAGAGCTCAGTGTCATTGCGGCGATGTCCTCGTTCGCAAAGAACAATTTATTGAATAGGTCGGGAAGTAGCCCCTGCCAGTGGGTCTACGGCCGGAACCATCGTCTTCCAGGAGCCTTGCTGAGCTCAGGGGGAGGCATAGAAGCATGCCAGATTGTCTCCGATTCGGAGAGGCTCCGCCGGGTCGAAGCAATCAGGGCGGCCGCGATGAAGGCTTATCACGATTTTGAATTTCACAATTCTCTCCGCGTGGCCTTACTACGGAAGCCTCGTCCTTTCCGCGGTCCGTTCTTCGAAGGTCAGCGGGTGGCGTATTATCGCCAGAAAAACCCCATGGACGGGGAAGGGAGCATCGAGGGATATAGGCAAGGAACAGTGGTGGCCATCGACAAGGGCACCCTTTGGCTTCGTAACACTCGTGGCCGCCTGGTTTCTTGCAGCCGTGAACAAGTTCGAGATGTTGCCGGCGAGGAGGAGTGGTGGGCACCAAGTCAGTCGGACTTGGACCTCCTTAAAAAATCTGACCAGGATTTGTCGGACAAGCACTCCCTCGCCTTTCGCTCTGAGGACGTCCCCGGCCCAAGCCAAGATCAGGCTGCGCTGGATGTGTTGGACTCGGAGCTGCAGCCAAGCACGCTTCCGGTTCCCGAGGCTCCCGTACCAGCTCCACTTCCGGTGCTGGATGCAATTGGGCAACCTGTATCTGGTGGTCAGGTTCCCTTGGTGGCTCCGTTGATGCTGATTCCACCTACTCCGCGGTCCGCTCCTGGAACACCAAGGACGCCCAGGATGAAGACCAAGCTTCGGTCGGTTCCAGAGCATGTCGCTTCGAGCCCTCCTGCTCTACTACCACCCGAGTTCGAGCCTCTACCACCAACGGAACAAACCGCGACTGCATCAACAGGACAACGTGATCCACTACCACCAGCGGAACAAGTGACTGCATCAGCAGGACAACGTGATCCACTACCACCAGCGGAACAAGCGACTGCATCAGCAGGACAACGTGATCCACTACCTGGTCCGCCCTATGTTCAGCAATCTTCTCGTCAGGTCCCTACAGACAGTGCTGTTCAGCAATCTTCTCGTCAGGTCCCTACAGACAGTGCGTCGGTGACAAGGCGAGCTTCTTCTACGTCAGGCGCCACATCTGGTCTACAGAGCGACTTACGTCTGGTCTTGGAGGAGGACTACCCTGAGTTTGCATCTCGTGGTACTAAGAGACCTGCTGAGACACCCCCGGGACCTAGCTCTAAAGGTGTCGCTCGCACGACCGAGGAGATGGAGGCCGAGTCTGCTCTTTATGCATCTTCCCTGTTGACCTTCTGTCGTGACTGTGGTGAACAACATCGAGTCAACGAAGAGGGCATCTCTATCTGTTCTAGATGTTCAAGCACAAGGACAGTGAATTCACCTGTTTTGGTTGAGAGTTGGTTTGATGAGGTGAAGGAGCGGGAGGCTATGAGTCAGTTCTTTGAGGATCGAGACCCGTCACAACCTCCCGAGCCTCACTCTGAGTTTGTTTCTGAGGCCAATTTGGCCAGCGCAAAAACCCTTCCCGAAAGAAGCAAGTCATGTTTGCATCGTCTTGAAGTACTACGTCGACATGGGCGGCACGAAACCCGCGCTCCTGGCTGGGATGGCAGCCCCGGCGAGCTGCAACCGCTTTTCGGCCAGAGTTGCTTTCTCGCGGCAGCGGACAAGTTCGGGGATCATGATGACGACCGGCCAGCCAAGGTGAAGGTGAAGTCTGAGGAGTTAGCAAAGCTTCTTCTGGAACGACAAGACTTCCGCCCTGCCGTTTGTCATCAACTCCTGGACACCGTGGACATGCCCGCGACGCAGAGGACATGTCTGGGCAGCGCTCGTCCGGTTTCCGCCTTGGCATTGGGGCTGTGTGCTCACGGGAACTTCAAAGGTATAACTCGCCGAAGTCGTGACCACAGGCAGCTCATCCGCTATCTTCTGAGCTACATGAAGAGCCAGGGCATGGACGACCAGGTGACATCCTTGTATCTGTCACGGAACGGACGGGCTGCCATGCACCGTGACAACCATAACCTGGCCGAGAGTCTGAACTGGGTTTCCACTGTGGGAGACTACACGGGCGGAGCGCTGTGGGTCGAGAGCCGATCTCCGGAAGTACCAGCAGATGCTGTATGGAAGAACATCAACGGAGAGAAAGTCCCCGGCTTCCTCATGGACCCTCACGGCAAGGCGCTCTCCTTTCACCCGAAGTGCAGACATGAGACGCAGCCGTTCCGGGGCGAGCGCTACGCCATCACCGCCTACACGAGCCGCAGCCGTGCCGCTCTAGAGCCAGAGTTACGACGCGAACTCCGGCGACTTGGCTTCATGAAGAAGTCCAACATCAGCGTTTACTACGTGGACGAGACCCAGCTGCAGAACGAGGAGATGGACCTGGATGACGTGCCCGTGCACCAGGCCTATCCCTTGAAGGCGTGGCAGACACCGGGCGAGGGCGAAGCGGCGGTCATGGAAAGCTCCAACTCCGAAGGCGCAGACGGCCCGGGAGAGTCCGTGTCACGAGCTCAAAAGCAAGCCCTCAAAAAGGAGCTCCCCTGGCAAGCTATGAGCCAGGCCGAGATTCCCAAGTTCGTGCAGGCCCTGGTGGACGAATGGTCCGAATGGCAGAAATGGTCCTCCTGCAGGCCCGTCTACCTGGACACGTCAAAGATTGATCCACGGCTCATACTGAAGTCCAGGGTTTGCTTTCGCTGGAAACCGAAAGGTGGTGGCGAGTTTAAACCCAAGGCGAGAATCGTGGTGGCAGGGTTTAGCCAGGGATTCGCCAGTGTTGAGCAGGGCTGGATTGATGGCCATCCTCCAATGGTCTTCCACGAACAAGGTGGACCTTTGGAACGGAGATTGCCAATCGGCCTTCTTGCAGGGAGCTCCAGATGATGAACGCCCCACCAGCATCTTCATGAAACCACCATCCGACCCCGTCAGCAAGCAGGCCATACCGGACTGGATGCGGCCAGACCTGTTGTACCGTCTGAGTGCACCTGTCTATGGGCAAGCGAATGCGCCGAGACGATGGTACATCCATGTGAAGAAGACTCTTATGGATCTGGGCTGGATTCCCCACACGCTCGATCCATGTCTGTTCTTGTATGTGGAGCGCGTGAACGACCAGGACACAGTGACAGCAGTGCTGGGATTACATGTCGACGACCTCATCCTGGCGGCGCTGTTGGGATTCAACCACCATCTGGATGCGGTGCATGCCTCCTTCACGTGGGGCAAGGCCTGGGACACTCGAGACTTCGTCTTTGTGGGACGAAGGATTTGCCAGCACGAAGACTACAGCATCACAGTGGACCAGTCCAGCTACGTTTCGGAGGTTCCCATCACCCGCACCAAGCTGGATCCCTCCGAGTCACTCTCCGATCACCCGGAGCTCATCACGGAGTTCAGGTCAGGAATCGGAAGTCTACAATGGCTCTCGGGCACTACGAGAGGCGACATCTCCGCGGATGTTTCCCTTCTGCAGAAACCACCTCAGGAGTTGAAGGTGGAGGACCTCCAGGAGATCAACGCCGTTCTCCGCTACGTGAAGGCTACGAACGGCGCGTGCTTCAAGGTGGTCCCCGTGCCCAAGGAGGAGCTCATGATAGTGGCCTACGGGGATTCTGGATTTGGCAACGCGCCAAACGGCAAGTCCCAAGGAGGCCTGGTTGTGGTTGCCACATCCAAGCGAGCACTGGAGAGCACGCAACCAGCATCCTTGCTGGAGTGGCGAAGCTATAGACACCAGAGAGTATTGCGAAGCACTCTGGCTGCCGAAGCGGCTTCCCTCGACAAGGCGGAGGACTTCGGCCACTACCTCGCCGCCATGCTCTCCGAGATGTTCGAGGCAGGACATTACGCGACCATGAAGGCCCCCCTCTTCGAGGTTCTTCCCGTGACGGATGCAAGGAGCCTTTGGGACGCAATCCACCGGCTTACGACCTCCTTCCAGGAGAAGCGCGTGGAAATTAGCATAGCAGCCCTGCGGCAACAGTGCAGAAATCTTCGATGGGTTCCCACGGAGCAGCAGATCGCCGACGTCATGACCAAGAGGAACAAGGCGCTCCGTGACCACTTCAGGGAGTGGATGGCTTCGCCAACGGTCACGCTGATCGAGAGCCGTAGCCCGGAAGATGCACAGTTGCCTGGCCAGGCCAATCAGCCGTGGCGAACAGGCCAAATAAATAAAGAGGAGTGCTAAAGCTGCGCTTTCTCTCATGCTGTTGGCCATGTTCTGATGCACCGGCTCTGGCCGTTTGACGACTCAAGGGAAGGGAATGCGCATGCTGAGCCAAAAGACTGGAGACCAGAAGCCGTGTGTCGTGTGCTTGCAAAGGCCCAGGACCCTCCAGGCTCCGTCAAGTAGAAGGGTTACGATTGCAAGTGCATGCCTTGCAGATCTTGCTTGTGTTGGGCAGATCTCACTTGTTTTGCACGACTTTTGGCTGAGCAGGTCTGCAGCTGTTTCCAACAGAAAACTTGTTGCTTGCAGACATGGCCACGGTCTATCGAAAGGAGATCGGCTCGGTACCGTTGAAGACGGTACTTCGCCAGTTTCCGATCGAACAGTCTGAGCCGTGCTTGTGGCCGCAGGTAATTCCTGTGTTGGTGATTACAGCCTCTGTGCAAAGAGCCCTATATGCTAAGTCCTGCACCCTGAACCCTACTCGAAGCCCACCAGCACTGTACGGCGTCCAACTTCCAAGGTCGTCCTCCGACGGCCAACTAGGCTCGGCATCCGACTCCGAGGTCAGCACCGATGCCTCTCCGAGTCCGGACTTGACAGCCCTGAAGACTCTGGCCTGGGCTAGCAGAACGGTTGCTTCTGTAGGTGGGCTCAGGGCTTTGTTCTTTGTTGAGTAGGATGTCGACAGCACGCAGCCAAGGAATGTGGATGCCTACTACATCTTCGGCTCCGGCGTGATCCGATCCGGCAGCGAGGTCCTCCAGCTTCCTCCTGGTCTCGACCTCCCAATCCCAGCAAAGCCCAGGCCCATTTTGGGTACCTATCCCAATTCGACCGAGATGCCACGTGCGTCTCAAGTGGCTTCTCTATCTCCCATGTCTACCATGGCTCCCATGGCTCCCATGGCTCCCGCCGCTCCGGTATCTCCCATTGCTCCCGACCGTGCCCCTGTGGGCCCGACATTGATGTCCCCCACCGCTGCCCAGATGGATGCAATGCAGACTCCATGGCTTTGACTATGCAAAGGTAAACCTACTCGCCCAGAAGCCTTGACCCCCGCTGCAGCCGCAAACCCTTAAGACATCAACAAAAAAGCTTGAACCAGCACCCCTAAACCCCAAACCCTGAGACCCTAAACCCTAAAGTCCTAACAGCTTCTCAAAAAAGATTTCAAAACCTAAGCATCCCTAAAACTCAACAGCGAAGGAAGCGCCTGAACCAGCAGATCGTCGAAGCCGCCAAGGCCCCGAAAGCCGAGGCCGGAGCAAAGCTCCTGGCTCTGGCAGAGGAGACATGTTTTGTGTTTGTTTTGGCTCTGTTTACCGGTTCATTTNNAGTTTTGCGTCTTTAGCTATGCGCTACTTTTTGTTTTGTGTTTTGTTTCTAGTCCTTTATTTCTGAGATTGGTTTAGTTTGGTGGTTGCCAGCCTTATGCGATTATTCAGATCTGTTCTTCAGGTTTTGGGTTTCTTTTTTCGGGGGTCTAAGGGTTTAGGGATTCTCAGGTGTCTAGCGGTCTAGGGTTTAGGGCGTTTAAGAGTTTTGTTGTTGTTTTGCTTGGTATGAGGTGTTTTGGGGTCAGGTGTTAAGTGGGTTTAGTGGTTATCGTCTGGGGATCGGGGTTTCAGGCCCAACAGGGGGTGTGTCATGTTGTGGCTACGGTCTCGTTCGTTGGAGGATTACTGAACCCAAGGTTTGTTTTAATGCAATCCTACAGTAAGTGTGCAAGGAAGAAACATTTCAAGCCATGTGGGGTAGTTTTGGCACATTGCAGTCCGTCTTGCGTAATGGAATGGTAAGGGGGGCTGCAGGAAAACATCGACAAAATGAATGCGGTGAACCTCTCCACGACTTTGCACCGGCTTGCGCGTGCTTGGACCAACAAGCAGGGGAAGGGGCAGAAGTCCTTGGCACGCCATCCGGTCGTGTCAAGGATGGTGGATTTAGCTGAGGACTTTGCAGAGCGTGACTTGCAAAATCGCGACAACAGCATGCCAGCAAACTGTTGCACCATCATTGCCTGGTCCTGCTCCTCCTTGTCGTTCTTCCGCAGCTCTCTTTTCGCTGTGTTGGTCAAGGCTGGGACTTACATAGCTGGTTAGATTGAGGTCTCTTAGGGTTTTCAGGTTTCAACCAGGCATTCCGACATGTCTGCACTTGCTTCGGTGGCCCGGCAAATTCTCAGGTGGTTTCCCAAGGTGTGGAGGAATGCCAAAGCTTTGAGATCACCAACTTGATGTGGGCACTTGCAGAGCTGTGCCGACGTCGGCCGCAAATGGGCAAGGAGCTTTCACCCAGCATCCAGGAGCTCGTGCTAGCCACGGCACCCGTGTTTATGAGGTGGCAGCTGCCATGACTTGTATGGGAGTCGTTTTCCATGTTGTGTATCTTTTAGTTCCCTGCATGCTCATTGTATCCAAGATCTAAAAAATCAAAATCAGTCTGAGGCTACACACATTGAATGTGAGGGTGTTGACTTCCGCGCTGATGTCCCTAGCCTTCTTCCCACCCATGGACTTGCTGGCGCACGGAGTACTCATTGCCAAGATCGTCCTTGAGCTCGCCGTCCGTGACGAGGAGTTGGCTTCCGAAAATCAAGTTGTCGTCGCAGCATTCCAGACGTTGTCCAGGAACCATTCGTCCGTATATCGGGATGTGGTTCGCTTATGCCAGCAGAACTTTCCACAGTCTATGGCCCATCGTCTGATGAAGTCGAGACCTTCGAACAAGACTCGGAAGTGAGGCGAAAGTTGACCTGTTCGGTCTCTTGTGCCATAGATTGTCACATTTAGAGTTGTCAGGTTTCTCAGGGGCAGGCTGTGCTCATGCTTTCCTGCAGATTCCACGTCTGAAATGCAGCGCAATACCGGCGCACTCGTTTTACCCGTAGTGGTCGAGCTGCTGCCAGCGCTGTCTCAGTTTGGTCTGTGGTGGGCAATCATGTACGCTTACCTGGAGTTCCCGTCCTTGCTGCATCCCCTCGTGGGAGAACTTTTTTTCTCAATGCAACTGTCGAAAACGTGCTTCGAATCAGCGGGGTTTACAGCTGCCTGCTGAATAATCTTGTGCTCTGTGCCAGGGGGGGCACCAGACGGCTTGAAGGTTTTGTGGGTTTAATTGAGACACAGCCCGCTGCCTCGCGATAAGCGAAGAGGTTGCGATGTGGTACTAGTGCTGGGACTTGTGCCAGTTACGGACCACACCACTCCGCG